AAAGTACTTTATTTTATTTAGTAAACATCCCAGAATGCATATAAATATTGTTATATATATATACACACATACACACACACATATATATATATATACATTTTTTATTTTATTTTGAGTACATCCAAATATGCCTATAATATTATTTTTATGTATAAATTATTTATATTTGTTTCAAATAATTTTTAATTATTTTAATTTATTTTTTTAATCATCGTAAATGCATACAAATATTGTTTTTCAAATATACATTATTTATTTTTTATTTTATTTATTTTATCCAAATATGCATTTATTTAATTAAATTTAATTTTATTTTATTTTGAGAACATCCAAATATGCATTAATATTCAGATCTAGCTTTCTGTCTAACATTGTTTTACTTCTCCATAAATAGCGCTCTGTTGTGGTTACTACTCAAAAATCCTGATAATATGCATTCATCCACAGAACTGTGTGTGTTGTGCAGCCAAACACACTCTTGTGTGGCATCTGAAAAGACTCAAAGGTTGGCACTCACCCATGGCACTAGAGAAACAGGCCATGGCCCGGGATGGGTTGCCAAGAGAGATGGCCAGTAAACTCCCCTGATCTTGCTGTATCTCTAGCCAACAAGTTACACAAGTGCGTGTGTGTGTATATGTGTGTTTGTGTGTGCCCATATCATTCACCCCACGGCCCCTCGCGCCACGTTTGAACAGCTCTGCCTTTGTCTCCAACTAACAATATTATTGTGGCCCTTTGCTCCCTGTCTTTGTGCACCATAAACACACACACACTCACAGAAAGAGGGTCAGCTGTGACATTACAAGTACAAGATATCAGAGATCTGCAGGAAGGCACCAGACGGGCTCTGAAAGTGTGTGAGAGAGACTCCGTTCTCATGTTGTCTTGAGGGTTCTGCTAGTTCCCTGTATTCTACTGTTAAACAATAGAGCACGACTCGGTCCCTCCGTGTCCGTCATGGCCTTCTGGGTCTCACACACACGCACACACACACACATAATGGCAGTGGTGTTACCTAAAGGTCTCCACCTCACCATGGCCTTTATGAAGAATATTTGTGTGTGTATCTGAATACATATGCACATTACACAAAACATGATGGTTTGTTTTAACCATTAAGTTTATTCTTTCAATTAAATTTAAATTATAGTTTTTAACCCAATAATTGAGTTTGATTCAATTAAAACAACCCAACATTTTTTTTTGTAGTGTAACATGCTGATAACTAAACAAAATAACAGCTTGTTTAAATAACCTGTTGTCCCAGTTTACTTGCAAACCAATGACCCAGAAATGCAAGTAATCCGTGTTTACAAAACAGCAATAAATTGTAAAGTAAAAGTAGTGTGCATGTGTGTGTTTGTGTGTGTGAATGCGAGAATGCATGGATGTTTCCCTGTACTGGGTTGCAGCTAGAAGGGCATCTGCATACTTTGGCCGACTTGAGATGCAGAGTTGACCATGCAATGACGCCATTCAAGTCTGGCAAAGAACGGTTCCAACAAGCAAGTTAAACAAAAGCAAAAGCCAAAGAATAAAATAAACAAGTAAATAACAAGCGGGGGTAAGATCTGAAAACGTGGTAAAAATCAGGGGTGAACGGTGCTTTTGAAAACACTATCGGTTGGGTTTAGGAAAGGGTGTAGTGGGGGGATCGGTCTGTCAGTCAGCCAGTCGACAGTGGCCTCTAGTGGATTTACACAAGAACAGCAGGTGCAAATAGCATTTATGAGAGAAATTTGAGATCTGATAAAGCGTACACATCGGCTTCTGGTGGATTCACGAAAACAAAAACTGCAAAAAATAAAATGTAACCCCTGGGACGTATTTTGTTATCTCCATAAATGTATATTTATGTATCAATAATGAGTCTGTGATGCATGATCAGCTGCTAAATTCAAATCTGCTTTACAGCAGTGGCTCAGGCTAGGCCAGAGAAAGTTGTGTGTGATGTTTGTTAAAAGCCACAATTTATCAGTGTTTTGTTTATTTAAGGTTTCAGAAATTTAAATACACGAGTTCTAGCAAAGCATAATATTTATGGCTTGTAAAATACACACTTTTTATGTCGATGGAAATGGCAATAATCATTTTTTGGGAGAAGTTGGTGAAATAACACGTTGTAAATCCAGCAGCTCTAATCTCTCCACTGCAGCGCTGGCTAACATAAAATCATCCAGCATATATCAAATAATATGATTAATATTAAGCAGTTTAAATGATGAAATACATGTTCTTACATTTAAGAATTCACAATATCATTAGAAAGTTTGTCGATATTTGCAGAAAATGGAAAAATCAACAATATTATCATTAGTTCTGTGGTGTGTCACATGAAAGAAAACGATGCATCGCAATGGAAACTTATAAGTGATGTGTTCATAATAATGGTCACTTTTAAAAAAAACTCTTTAGTGGGTAAGTGGGAGTATTTAGAACTTAAAAATTAATTATTTGGGTCATAAAGCATTTAAATTTATGGTAATTTTCTAATTTGCTCCGTTCATGTGCTTAAATCAGCACTAAGGACACGTTCTTTATTTGTAATACACATCTGCACTTTGGTAAACCAATAGAAACCGATTGAAGCTTTGACATGCATGGTGAAATGATCAGCATACGGATTAAACATCTAGCTATGATGAGTGGATTATACAAAAGCTGCTGTGGTCTAACTCCAATAAAGGAAAGAAGGTTACCACGTTTACACGACCGCATGCGTTGTCGGCTGATGAAGCATAATCAGGTTAAGATTGCGCTTGTAAAGTAAACACACGCATTGTGTGACATCTCTAATAAGAATGCTTACATGTCAACACCAGACTGAACAGGAAGTGAGTTGTCTAATGCCTTCAAGGCTTGCCAAAAATAACACCATCCCAATAACACCACTGTTTCTCCCACTACCTATTGTGTTCACAGGGGAAGTGTGTGTGTGTCAAACAGATTGGTCTCCTTTAGGACTCCTTAACACAGTCTCTTTCAAATACACACACACAGGGAGCCCAGGTTCCCATCATTGTTAGTCCATCAGTTTATGTGTTGTTGTTTGAAATCGTCATTTGATTATTTGTCATTTCACATGGGCATAAAAGTGCAGACAATTCCATCATTTGGTAATAATTTAATTTGACTGAGTTTTATGACAAAAAAATGTTCACACTTTAGTTTAGGTCACAATTCACAGTATTAACTAACACTACTAGCTTAATAAACTACTTATTAGCTGTTTAAGGATGAGGTTGGGTTTTGATTTTGGGTAGGATTAGGAATGCAGAATAAGATCATAATTATTACTAATGAACATTAATATCTTAATAATAGGCAGATACAAACCAGTAATAATAGCATGAATTGTGACCTAAACTAAAGTGCACTTTATTGCATTACAATCATATTCGGAAAAAGTTAAGGTTTTTAGTTACAATAATTACTAGATAATAGTTACTAACACCTTAAATAGTTAATAGTTACTAACACCTTAAAAGTAATTAACTAGCTAACTATTAGCTTTTAAGAGTTTAACGCCCAATTCACACGGGGCTTCAGCGTCAATGCTTGATGGAAGGCGTGTCTGAAGTTGGGGCTGAAACAATCATCATAGAAGCGTCAGCCAATGAAATTCAGTCAGAAATAGGCCACTGTCTAGCTGGTGTATTTGCATACAGCCATCTGATTGGCTGACGCTTCCATCGGCGCTTGAAAAGTTGAGCTGGTCCCAACTTCTGCAGCGAGCAACACCTCTGAAGCGGCGCCGACGGATCCACAATGCAGTTCGGCAACGCCTAACGTCACCCATTCAAAGTGAATGGGAAGCGTTGACGCTGACGCCCCGTGTGAATGGGGCGTTAGTTTATTACATATAAGCATAGTAATCCATATAATCCTTTAGGTGATGAAAACTTTCGGAACAATGTTGCTTTGCTGTATTCCTATTGGGAATGGACAGATAAACTGTATGTAAACCATTGGATTGGTAGTCGACATATTTTTGAGATCGTCCTATCAGAATGCTAACGGCAAATCACGTATATATTCGCAATTAGAATTC